TAAGCCCCCAGACCCATTTTTTGGCAATAAAACAGAAACATAATGGGAAGGACCATGGTGTTCATTTAACTCAAATACTCAATGGTGCTTTAGCGTCTCATTAGACAAGCATCTGTGAAATGAGGGCAGTCCAGCTACTTCAGTGGCTGTCTGTTCCGCTGTTAAGAAGCATCTCCTGATGTTTACCAAGTCTCCTTTGCCAGGTGTATTTATTCAATGTCTCTCTTGATCTTCTCTACTCCAGCTTAAATAAACCTAGATCCTTTGAACTGTTCTTCACAGAAGCTTGCTTTCAGACCCCCATGCCATCCTAGTTCAGTTGATGTGACAATGTCCTTGTCAGAACTCCCTCTGGATCGTATTTAGTTTGTGATCTATTGCAACAGGGATGCACAATGTGGGGTGGGGGGCTTTGACCTTTGAGTGGTGTGACAAGGGCCATATTACAAAATGCAGACAGGGCCAGAAGAAAAGGTATAATATAAATATTTAAAATGGCATTAAATTACATATAGCTTACATTCTTATCTGTTTAAACATTTAACAGCTTTGATTGGGGTTAGAAGATGGGGTTGATATCCTAGCCTGTCAAGGTTCTTTTGGACCGTTCCCAGAGATATTGGCCATCTTGCCTAGATAAGTGTTTTTCAGTACTTTTGAAGTCCCTTGGTATTCGTGTATAACAAACCCTTGAACAGCAGAGAGTACTGCATTTCATTCGATAACTCCCTCGTTTGAGAGTGTAATTAATTTGCAGCCAGTAATGTTGCTGAACATTAAAAAGCAAATACTCCAAATATTCCAGGAACATTTCTACAGGTAGTCCTCATTTAGTGACTGCCTCATTAAGTGACCATTCAGTTATGACAGTGATGGAAAAGTAACTTTGCGACCAATCCTCACATTAATGACCTTCGCAGGTCTGTAAAGCAAAGGAAAGCTGAAGTAAGATTGTAAACAGTTTACAAGCTTTGTTTAACAACCAAGTTGTCAGTCCCAATTGCGGACACTAAATGAGGGCTACCTGCATTTCATCATGACAATATCCTTTTGTAGCAAGCTCATATTTGGGAAAGAGTGGTAAATGCAGCAGCTCAGAAGGTATTTCTGCTTGTTTATTAATCTGAACTCAAAACAGCATGAAGCATAGTCTACCTTGACTCCAATGGATTGATTGACACATATGTTTGGAGCTCAAATTCAACTGTGTGCATCCTGCTCTCCTCAAACTTCAAGGGTTACCAAACCTGACATGACAAACCTTAGCGATACTCTGCCTTTGTGTAAGTAATACTAGGCACAGGTACTGTACTGTACTATCTGGGACAGTGACAATGCTACCACTTCTTAATTTACTTGCCCAGGCCTTTGGAAAGGATGACTGATGCCCCTTTCTTCCTTTCTGTCCCTTGTAGGTTCATTTCCTTTGCCACTATTGTTCTTCTGTCCTGTGCTGTTTGTGTGTGTTTCTACTGTTCTTTGTTTTTAAATGTTGTAATGATTGTAAGCCTCCCAGAGTCACTGGGAGTCAGGCGGCATATAAATTTAATACATTAATATTATTACTCAAAAGGTTGCTAGAAGTTTAAGAAATCTAATACAATTCTACACATGGCTTAGTTAGAAACAAGCAGGTATTGGAGAGCAGAGTTAGAAAACTCTGTTTACATTCATGGACTTAGAATGACTTCACAGTATAGGTACGTCACATTCTTTGAAAACTGTCAGATCATTCTGCTCGTTCAATAAGCGTGCTTTGTTCAGTATGGCCTCTTAAATGAAATGCATTAGAAAAGTATTAAAATGTGTAAGAGTCAGCAAGTAGCACCCCCTTAATTCAAATCTACCCTTAAATATTGCTATCTGGCTCGCTAATTGTTTTTTCCAGACTGGGGGGGGGGGAACAGAAAATAAAAATGGATGCAGATGAGAAGCACATTTGTAAGATTTTTCAACAAGCCACTTTAGAAAGTGAGAGATAAGAGCCTGCAGCTTGCCAGAGCGGGCCTCTATCACGGCCTTCCACAGGACAAAATGTTCTAAACATGGTAGTTCTACAGCTTCCAGAATTCCCAGCCCACCCGGTTCAACACTTCTGGAAGTATCAACTTAGAGAGGGCTTCACTAGCAAGTTAAGGCGCTGACCTTCAGAAATAAGGTGTGATTTCAGAAGAATCACCATTTATCCCTTTAACTAGATAAAATCTCATCTCTAAAAACAGAGAATAGGGATATTTAAATCGACATTGACACATACCATTATGTATGCATCAAACATGCATACACACACACAATGCTTATATAAATTAGGAGGTATGATTCCAGTTTTCATCACTGAAGTGACACAGCGATTTTCCCAGTCTGCAATTTTGACAAAATTAATGAATTTTATTTACAAATTTTTATTCCAGGATTACAACAGAAAACACTTTAGTGAAATCTCATATTAACAAAATGCACTGATTTATTTGTAATGGTATTAAAATGGAACAGACTGACAGTCTCTGGTTATGGTTGAGCAATTTTCCATGAGCTGGAGACTATGTGAAATCCCATGTTGACTGTGATAAGGCCTTCCAGTATCTTTGTTGCATCTTAGTGGCTTTCTCCTTTCTTTCCTACCACCTATAAAAGAGAAAGAGAAAGTTACCACTTGGAGAAAAGACAGATAAAATGGATTCTCTTGTTCGGAAAAAAAAAAATACCTAGAAGTAACTGCAATGTATTTTTGACAGGCATTTAATGCTGGAGGGAAGTGGATCTCTATGAACATAAACTAGATAAGAGCAAAAGTGGCAAAGGATTAAATGGAGGAACTTTTTAGTTTTCAGCCAAAAAGCATGGTCCTGTTCAAATGATGACCGGGAGGCCAATCAGATCAAGATACACTCATGAATATGTCAAAGTAGAAAGCAAATGGAGCCTTGTCTGTCCTCCTGAGCTCAGTCTCAGATGCTTACAGCTCAACGTACATCACTTAATATCTTACTATGAAGTAGGATAGAAACCTATTTGCAATATAGCATCACTATTTTTCAACCATTCCACAACATTTCGCATGGTCAAATGCTACAGCAGGAGCAACTACAGTATACTCATGGGAAGAGGCAACTAAACCTCTGATAGGTCGGTGTGCATTGGTTAAGCTGCTAGTTTGTAATGCATCTACATCAAACTTATCCACTCTTGGGCCCTTCAACACTCAGCACCCTTTGAGATTTATCAGGCTGGTGGGTAAGCTCATGGGCAAAATGAGGGCAGGATTCAATTTCAGGATGGAAGAATAGAAGGAAACAGCACTGGCTGTTATTCCTAGCCTGCACACTTTTAAATGCACCTTCATGGATGCGGGATGCAGAAGTGGGGAAGATCACTTGATGCCATTCAGGCTTTTCTGTGCTGTGCTGAGGCTTGCTTATGTGGTCATTGCAGATTGTCTCAGCAGATCAGGCTGAGGAACTGTACTGGTCTTCTCCAATTCCGTCTACCATTCATCATGTTCAGTGGGAGAACAGAAATGGCTACAGTGTGCTCCTAACGTTACCGTCATAGCCTCCCCATAAACACTCAGCATTTAATGAGGCAGTTTCAAAACATCACAACTTTGTATAACATAATACTGAAATCTCATGACAATGGCAAAATAAAACTTGGTAACTGCTGAAGGGAGGTATCTACTAACTATAACTCAGCATACATAAATATGGCTAACTGAAAATCATGAATCCTAATCAATCATATGTGGATTTACTAAGCCATTAAAAAAGAAAAGGCTAATCTTTAGAATAAGGATTGATGCATGTATTGGCATGCAGACACCAGTGCTCAAAAGCACTCAGGTAATAAAGAATTAAAACGTCATGTAACAGTACAGAAGGAAAACAAAAACAAGTTAAGATTTAATTAAGCATGTTATAAAAAGCAAAATTAAACTGGACAAAAATGTGAGACAAATATTTATTCCTTGGCTTTGATTAAAGCATGGTACTCTAGTTTAGATTAAATAGTTACAACCACAAATTAGACAATTATGATGTTAGCAGAGGTGCATCAATCACACACACCCCCTGAAAAAATAATCTATACCATTCAGAAGGGGAAATGCTCAAGTGGCCCATGTGTATTATCTGAAAAATTAAACATTTTAGCATTGATGTTTATCAACGTAGTTAGAACTATTTGAAGAAATCTTAACCACAATAACTCATACCTATAAAGCTAAAAGAAAACTAGCAGTGCATTATTTTTTATTCCTAATGCCTTATTTGGGGCACATTTTTTTGCTTATTAATTGTGCAAATTCCATATAACATTTATGAATTAATCCTTCAATAATTTCCCACCCTTAAAGTTCTGGGTGGGAAATTCCTAATCTGTTAATTTTTAGGAATAATTTGCCCTCAACCTGATGCCCAGGTTGTAGCTCTTTTGACAGACTCCATTCTTTGACAGTGCACTGTCATTAAGCCACAGAGCAGGCTGGATTTCTCAATGAATAGTGAAAACTGCCTGAAATGGAAACACTCAAGTGATATGCATTATGCTGGGGAAGGAAGAAATAAGGTTCCTTGCTAAGGCAATAATTACTGAACTACGTTTCATTTTTTTTAAAAAAAATTATCTTGTTTGAATCCATCTACCAAGATGAAACACCCTCCCCAATTTCCAGGTGTTTTAGGACTACAGCTCCCAGAATATCCAGCTGGCAAGGCCATCAGCCTGCAGTTTGGTAGGTGTGGTCCCAAACATATCTGGAGAACACAGACTGGGATGGCAACTCTTTATGGCAATGTTTCTCAACCTTGGCAGCGTTAAAATGGGTGGACTTCAACCCCCAGAATTTCCCAGCCAGCATACTGGCTGGGGAATTCTAGGAGTTGATGTCCACCCATCTTAGTGCTGCCAAGGTTGAGAAATACTGCTTTATGGAGTTATCTTGTGAAAGAACTGCCATGCTGTATTACAAGTTAAAACATTGTATGAAACATTTTGCCACAGAAAGAAACAATAAAGATAAAGGTGAATTGACTGACAGAGGAAATTATGGTCCAAGTTACAGGGATTCAATCCAGACAATGCCTCGAAGGGCCTATAACTCAAAGACATAGCACAAACGCTCTCAAGTACAGTGTCTTGCTCTCCTTTGCTCAGTAGCTCAGAGAACTGGCCGTCCAGATCTAACAAAACTGGGTGGTCTAGCTCAGTTTAAGGCAACTTCATAGATGTTCTGAACTTATAAAATGCTATTAAATCAGTTAAGCCTGGAGAAGTTGAAAGATTCCTGCCCTAAGGTGGTCTGTAAGAACTTGAAATCCCATCAGGAAAAGTTTAGCTAGAGATCACTCAGTCTGGATAAAGAACACAGGTGGACTCTTCCACCTCCCTTATTCACAGTGAGGACTAGTATAGAAAATGCCAAGATTATGTAATCAAATGAAATGTTGAAGCATTTAAGAGCAGAATAAGGCATTTCAAAACCAACACAGTACATTAAAAAAAAAAAGAATGTAAAAACCGCACAGTAAACGCAAAGATAAGTCCACGAGGAAAGAATGAGGAAGGAAAGCTGTCCCAGAAGGTGCCGAGCAGGAATTGATGATACCATAAGCAGTGGAACTGTGCAAATGAGGAGCAGAGGGAGCAGGAAGAAAGGGGCGGTGGAAGGAAAGCTCATTTAAGAACAAAAATCTTCTGCATTTTTATTTCTTTGGGCCAGGGAAATGCTGAAAAATAATAAAATAGAGTGTTACAATAAAGCAGAGAAAATAAGTAGCCAATGAACAGGGAAAAAGGGGAGTGCCACGCCAAGGAGAGCCACCTGAATTTCACATGCATTTGCCCCTTACACACTTTTCATCCCAAAGAGAAAGGCAGAAGTTTTATCATCCTTCCTTATATGGAGATAATTAATTAGCAAAAAGAACAACAACAAAAAGCCAAAGCTAAAGAGAAAGCAACAAAAAGGTAGGCAAGGCATGCCAAATCTTAGCTTAAATGAGGAAAAGTTTGTTCTCTGCCCTCCCAAATTTAAGCTTGCATACTATAAGTCAAAAACATGCAGTGAACAATGCATTCCTAAAATGCATTTAATACTCCGGACATAAGAGATGAGAAGTGAACTAAATCTCAAAGGTATTATTTATATCTGATTGTCTGCTAAGCATTTCCAAAGCAATTGCTCCTAACATCCTTTCTGTTACATTCACAACAAGCACTATAGATTGTGGTAACTGATCAACCAATGTCCAGGTTAGAGAGAATGGAAGAAATCTTCCTTTGATATGGACCCATTTTTATTCCAAGTCTTTAAAATGAGGCACAATTTATTGGAGAGTTTTTAAATTAAGTTCTCATCAACTGGTAATCCAGCAAGGAATAACAAAAATCTCCATATTTTTGGATTCCCAGAAAAATTGGCTGTGATACACAGATGAATATTTCTCATCGGCTTTGCAAGTCATATATTGTAATAAGAAAGGGGGTACTCAGAGGTAGATCTAGAAACTGCTAAATTAATTTAATCACCTCAAAAAGCCAGAGTTATATTTTCCACATTGAATTTTATTATAAGTAGCTTGAGGTTTAGCTAGCATTTCAAATTAAGAGAGGATGCCATTAGGATCATAATAAATATTACAGGTAGTAGCAATGTACACATTTGTTGATCAGGGAATCGACTATTTCAAAGTACTCCAGAATGTTCTGTTTCTCCCTGGACCTTGCCAAACCCTCCTCTGAACCATACAGTTCTGGAGGTATGGTTCATGGTGTTCTATACATAACATTATGGACAAAACAGACCTGTTTCAGGGCTAGAATACCTTCAGAACACTTGTGCTTCAAAAGATTTACCTCTAGAAGCCCCCAAACTGCCCCTGAGTGATTCAGAGGTAGTCTGCCCTGGTCCAAAGGGAAACAGAAGATTCTCAAGTTCTCCAGAGTGGTACATTTCCAGATTGCTGGATTTTGCTCATCCCTAGAGTTTAGCAAATGAAGTTATTCTGGGAAGTTAATAGTCCTGAAAAGGGGCAGATGTAGAATTTTTAAACAGGGATCAAAGGGACAAAAGGGCAATGAAAGGGTTGGGGTTTTTTTTTTTTTGCTCTTCTAAAAACACTGAGAACCTCATTCTTACATCCCAGAATTAATGATTCAGTGATTGTGTATTTTCTAAGGCCTCTCATACTGAGAATGAGCATAGAAGGCTATGGAACTAACAGACCAAAAGAAATTATTGACATGTTGCCACATAGCCAAGATACTTTGAACTGCAACTATGAATGCAATCCTCATCTTGCATTCATGTTAGCTGTACTTGATATTCTATACCTCAGGAGTAGAGAAGGCCAAGGATAAGCTGGGGATCTAGTTTAGCCCCAGGAACTTCTCAATTACTCTTTGTTTCCAAGCATCTTTCCTGCTGTTTATTATGTACCACAAATTAAGAGGCATCTTTAATTATACCCTCCTTCACATCATTAAAGGGGCTTTGGTAGAATTCTCAGCTACTTCTACCTTTCTCTGTCAAAGAGTTAGCCCTAAAGCTTCAGCTCCAGAGCTGCCTCTGCTAAGGATAGGCCTACAGGCTATATAATAATTACTGCAGGCAGCATTCTCAACTGCTGTTGCTGCTGTTCACTATGAGAAGCAATTCTAAAGCAAGGAACTTTCCACAAAGGAAGCATCTTATCACTTCCAGTCTTTCCACCTTTCTAATGTGGATCAAACAGAGCTACCTGTAAAAAAAAAAAAAAAGGCTAAAAGGTATTGACTGGAGAAAGAAACATTTCAAGAGAAAAAGCATAATCATAACAACTGATGTTTGTAGACAAACACATACAATCAAAATTAACCTTTGATATAAGAAACAGCATGTACATAGGCCCCAAACATTTCAGAATAATCTCGTCACACACCATGCATATTTGTAAGGTTTAAATGTACTCCTTAAGTCAGGATTCCCAAAGGTATTACTGGCTACCCCTGCTCTCTGTTTTCACTTCAGAAAGTTCATTATCTAAGGCATTCTAATTACTTAATCAATGAACACCCATTTCTTCTTCACTGTTAGCCCTGCACTATTAAAAACGCAGGCTCATCACGAGATGATGATATTGATGATTCCTCTAGAGCAGTGTTTCTCAACCTTGGCAACTTTAAGATGTGTGGAGTTCAACTCCCCAAATTCCCCAGCCAGCCAAGTCCATACATCTTAAAGTTGCCAACGTTGAGAAATACTGCTCTAGATGCCTGGGCCATGTGGTTAGGTGAGCTCTACTGGTTAATGTAGTTATACTATGAGTTGGACTGTGTTTAGGGCCTTGGGTGCTTAGTTTTGTTAATTATTATTGTTGTGGTTTTGCTATTACAAAAATGTCAGGTTCATTTTAAAGAAGTAAATTTTTAATTTTTGTAGTCAGAGAGAAAACTTGAAAAATTATGCACTGAAGGCTGAGAAATTAGAGTGGTTAAACAGGGTTTCAAAGATCAAAGAAACAGCTTGAATAAAGAACATGCTCATTGTATTATTTTTTCAATGGTTTTCCTGGTTTCTTACATTCTTTCTTCAATTCACTTTGGCCTTTTGGAGGTCAGTAACCAATCCTGGAAAACTCTGGCTTAAGCAGTCATTCACTTTTATAAGCTTTCTGGAGCAACCATGCATTCTTTGGCTCTTTACAGAATAAAGACTCCAAAGAAACCAAATACAACTTTTCATTTGGAAAACACTGCCAGTTATTTTTGAATTCCAATATGTAATAAGATTCACACAATATTCAAGAAATAATTTGTCTCTTATTTTGAAGCCAAATTTGTACTTACCCGCTTAAAATCATTCATGTTTGTTGCTTGAACTGGTGTTCCAATAAATGTGAAATATGCAATTCTTGTTGTTTCTTCATCACCTTGATTGGACTGGACAAATAACTAAAATGAAAGAGACAAGCACTGAGTTATATATGTGAAAGATTCAATAATCCATGAAACAGCCAAGTTCAAAGAAAATTAGCTAAAACATGGAATACTAAAGTTCACAGAATGTAATTGAGTCATGCCAAATATATGATGGGACTCAGGCTTGCAGCAGATCTTGAGTGTAAATTCTAGGATATCAGTGCATATTCCAAACTATTTACTACCTTCCAAGCTCTTTTTTGAGGTGAGAAATATTCCCTAAACTTGGGTATTCACTTGCCCATCAAAGAGCAATTTTATCCACACCTCCCAAACAATCACTTGCATTTAGGTCTGGACCAAATATACTGTAGAACAATACGTAATTATTTTTTTCGTTTCTTATCTTCTCCACACATTAGAACAAATGAACATCCTTGACTTCTGGTGGGGACAATGGCAGCTTAATCATCTCTCCGTGAGAGGGGAGATGGCACCGCAGCCGAATGGGTAGCTGGCAGCAAGTGCTGGCCACCCAACTTGCTCTAGATCAAGGAGGGAGTGAGGAAATCGACCCATATGGTCTCCGGATGGCCATTCCCCAAAAGCGAATTGCGGAGACGGAAGCTTCTGCGAACGGCTTTTGAGTCGAGCGGCTGGGAGTTGGGGGATCCATCTTTGTTCAAAGCTGTGGTGCAGCCTTTTTAAGGGCACTAGAGCTGACCAAGCCTCATTTCTAAACACTGTGAAATATAACTATTTTGTAACTTAAGAGAGGCCTTCCTTCACAACAGATAAGTAATTCTCTTGGGGCATATCCTTATTTTGGGGACTATACTTTTAAAAGAAGAAATAGAGTATTAATTTGAATCTGACTAATTCGCAAAAAGCTGGACAAGCAGAATTTAAAAGAGACTTAAAGTTATTTATAGTGAAAAGGGAAGATTTATTTGTTAGAAGTTTTGTTTTGTTTTTTTACAAAACTCCACTTGCAGTAATGGTTTGCTTTTTACATGGGAAAATTGCTTGATTTGTGAGATTATGTCTATTGATCGGCTGGGTTTTTAAAACAGAAGATTGTAACTTGATCTCTTTATTTATTTATTTGTTTGTTTGTTTATTTGATTTTTCAGCTGCCCATCTCTCCCCAATGGGGGAACTCTGGGCGATTCACAACAAACATTAAAAACATAA